TTTCTAAGCTTTTAAATGAAATTATTAAGCTTGCAACCTATTCTATAAGAACATCAAGGGATTAATATGCCTTTACACGTTATTAAAACTTCTACTTGCATTGTGTGTGCATCATTTATAACATATTCCCGTGAGGAGTAATACGTCTTTTAAATTCTTTTAGTACGATATGTTGATTTCTAATCACCTCCAAGTGACAAGGACATTTTTATGTTCCTAGTATGATCTCTAGGGGTATAAAGAATCCATTACTAAAGAAAAACACTGTTTAAAGATACATTGCTCCAAGTCAATGAAGTTCAACCGGCTCGTCACTTTTTCTGTGGAGTAGTAAAGAGAATTGGTACTGAATTATGTACAATTAACAACAAGAATACGGTCAAAAAACACATCATTTTCCTTATCTGAACGACAGTATTCAAATAGTATAAGTATCAAATCTTAATCAATGAAAAATTCATTTGACTGACTAGATGTGAGTTTGTCCTTGAAAAACTAGAGTACTTCTATATTGTAAACCTCTAATAATTGAAAAATTTTAGTAACGTATTTTGCAACAACTAAATATGTCTAAAATGAAGAAAAAATCGTTAAAAACTTAAATTAATGGTAGCCATCAGCATTAATAATAAACAGCCCTTTCCGTCCAAAAAATGATTTATCTATCCCCCCACCCCCAAGAAAATCCATAGCCCTATCCATATCTAATGTAGTTTGAAAAAAATGGTGCTAAGCATACTATGTATACGTTCTTTGTGCAAAAAATTTTCTCGTTCTGTCGTGTTCATAATGTTCATTGCGTTTAAAAATACGAATGAAAGTTCATTATGCGATTTAAAGTCAACATATCAATTTGTATGTATCAAGATCACGACATATCAATTTCAGTACTTTTTTTACAAAGATTTTTTATAAAAATTATATTAGTGTAGAATGACATCAGTATACTGGATTACTATCCCCAAAAATGTGATCAAGTAATTATCAGAGATCAATTGCTACCTACGGAAAATCAAATTTTACTGAAATTCAATTTATTAATTTTTTTTTTTTTTCAAACTTAATTTGTTTCACAGTAATATGTGATTGACGTAACTATTTCCGATCCCTTCTATGGACATCCTATAGCTTTCGATAAGAGTAAAATTTGTTGACAGACAATTGAACTGAAACTAACACTTTTGTTGACGAACAGTCCTTGTATTGGTGTTTAAGATGAGAATGGAATTGAAGACATTGCAGAATACCCAAATGATTCATTCAACTCCTAAACGAGTGGGTCGAGAAACAAAATCATTCCAAAATAATTTTCTGATTAAATGGAGATTATAAGGGCATAACTCGTATGGTATCTTTTTTATTCTTCCATTTAAGAAATACAATGTGAATCAAACTTATGATGAATGGTATAACTGTGACGCATTTATGTAACCACTTGTGTCTGACTTACCTTATAAAGGACATTAAATCATATTATATCGAATCTAAGCAAAACATTTCAAAATATGTGATATATCGCAATTTACTAGTATACAAAAATAGCTCAAATCAAGACTTATCCACAGAATGTTGTGACTAAGTAACTGCGTGAGCCTTCGATAACTCTCTCGAGTACATGGAACTTAGTGTTAAATATTTTTCAAAGCATTATCATTTGTGAAATGTAAGTATTTCATTTTTCATTTATCTCAACTTATATAATTCTTAACTGATTTATAGTTTCGCCAAGCAGTTGGTTATTTTTTTTATAATCAACGTGTGGTTCGTCTGATCTGAAAAATCCATTGGTCAAAATTCGATAATGGCGTAAAATTTCCTAGCATCCTTCTAATTTCGCTATTTTGACGTCACGAGAAAAGTCGACCATGAATACGACATCACATAGAAAGAACATTATCAGTTTGCAGATCATTGAAAAAAGAAAGATAAACTTTGCCCATTATATATCTACTTATCAAATAATTATTTCTGTTACTGCATCTTACGATCCTTTACGATAGATAATTTAGCTAATCTGCAATCAATTCCATCTTCATGCCTAATATATCATGCACTGTGTTACAACTCTAGATTCTACTGACGAGGAAAGGTAACACTAGGCCACCGAAAGCTATATTTTTATGTAGCCTAGGTGGCCGAGTGGTCTAGAGCGCTGGACACAGTGCAGGCGGTGTTGCCACGATATCACAGAAGCAAGGGTCCGAATCCCGCTGAGGGAAGAACAAAAATTTGCTAACGCAAAATCAGTCTGCAATACGATATTTCTCCTCCTTCGAACTTGAATTTTCGGAAAGCCTCGCGCTTTAAATTTGATAATTTTATTTTCTCCAGAGGTGAAATACTAAGATCGTATTATACTAGACACAGTCTACCTGGTAGAATCTCTAAAGTTGCACATGTTCAATGTTAACATGATTTTACAATTGACCTATTTTCTTGTAGATTTCTACTTTAGCACAATCATTATCACGTACGCATGGAATTTCCCGCCAAATATTTTGAACACCACCGGTCATTAGGTTGTTCATCTATATTGTCATGAGACTAGCGTAAATATTCCATAATCCAATGTTATGTCTCTTTGACCATTCCTTTAATATAATTCTACATTAATTTTTTATTTTTATCATCAAGTGAACGTCAATACATAAACATATAACACGAAATTATAACTGTTGTGGGTGTTAACTCTTCACACATCTATGGTGTGAACAGTCAAACCTACTCATTCACACGTGAACAAGCAATTATTCATGTATAATTCAGGGTAATATAAGATACAAATAATGAAACAAACAGGTCTACAAATATAACGTACAATCCTACTAAATACAAGGCATTTTCTAGAATGGTAAGTTGTATACTAGTTGTTATTGTTAAATATAATTGTGTACACAGTTTCTGTATTTTGCAAATCTCTACACAATTGGATGAAACAAAAACAAGTCTTTGCAAGAGGGGGACAAGCGCTTAATGTTAGGTTGAAGAAAATTTTGAGCTATAAACATCAAGCTAGATAATCATTGAAGACAAACTGGTATCCCCGGTTGAAAGAAAGAGGTTGGTAAAATAATAATAACGTGTACCAAAAGCGTGTACAAATTATAATTTGTTCAAAATTACAACTTGTACACGACATATATATCAATCATCTCAATTTCATATTTTTTGAGTCAATTCGGTTTTTTTTTACCTCTGCTACAGTTTTAGTAAAATCCGCATATTTAAATGAGACTATTTCATTTTTCCAACTAATTGTGGTATGTTTGGCATCATGTAGAAATCTAACATGCGTGTATAGGTCTGCCCTGAATTCTAGCTTTTATTCCGCTCCTTTGAATGTTTCAAACAAAACAAAAAACAGATTTTATTTTTTGTCGAATTCTTAGCTGATTCACCTTTAAAACTCCGTGTCAAGGAAGAGGAGGGACATTGAATGTTACAGTAAAATCAACATATCCTAGATGTACAGCAATTTACAGTTAATGATGCCTTTAGTGGTTTCTATTGACGTTTAGAGTTGTTTTACAATTTTACGATCAAATCATTGAAACTGACACCTACGATAAGTTTGACACAAATTGATTTGTATATCTTTCTTTTATACATACTTTGATTACTGAACCCCGAGTGACCTTTCTGAGAACAGCATCTAACTAGAATATTACAAAACTGTCAAGTTTTCTTCTTCACTGAAATTGATATTCTATTTTTTTTTTCATTTCATTAAACCTGTCACGAACTTTCAATTGCCCTCCAAGCAGAGGTCATTGTCTTTCTTCGTGAATCCTGCATCTGCCAAGCCAGAATTTAAGATTCCTCACGTGTTGCTTAAACACTGATGACAGATTATTAATAGTAACAGGTTATTATTCTTATAAAATCTAAATTGGCTGACGTTGAGACCAGAAAGCTAATAGTCCAATAAAAGAGTGACTATTGTCTATGTCGGATATTTCTTGCACATGGCTGTTTGTCTAGCTACCCGATTGGCTCATATTATTTCTCATATTAAAAATCACGCAAGACCCCAATTTCCGTGAGCAAGATGTTGGGTTTTTATCTAATTTTCTTTAAACCTTCTTCAGGTATATTTGCCCAACACTTAAGTGTGAAATAAAAACAAAAATAAAACGTGTGGGAGCATGGAAACTACAAAACCTCCACAGAACAGCCAACACAATTAACCTACAATCGGATATATATCCATCTGGTCGACGAACGATTTTAACATATAAATAAAAAATTCTGAAAAAAGAAAAGCGATTACCACTTATTTCATTTCACACCAGGACCCTTTCAGTTTCTTATAAAATTCATGACATCACAGCTTCATATATGTACTTTGGAGTTTTAACAACACTGCAATGTTAACAAATTGAGACTTGAATAAATGATTCAATACCGAACTTTACCAGCTTTTTAGGCGAACTAATACGGGTATTTATATAATTTTTTATTAGGATAATGATGGAGTTGTGTTTGCAAAATGTTAACAAAATTAAAGCTGACATTCTAGTTAATATGTTCGCCAGCTTCAATATTGGAATTGTGTTTACAATGACAATCTACTCCAAATTAAATCAACTCACTGGCCAAAGGACATGTGAAGGTATACATGTATCATTTCAAATTTCAAATGTAAAAAATATGTTTAACCTTTCATGTTTTATTTCTATGCTTCACAATCTCAAAAAGTGTATGACTACTTGAAATGAGGACGGACGGACGGACACATACTTCTTCCATAGATGTTTAAACCCTCGGTAGATCTCTATATCTTTCGCAAGTGTTAAACGACCTTGTGAAAAAAATGATAGTTTACTTCTATCATCCGCAAATCATATTTATTATGAAATTTCAACTGAGCCACTTGTGCCAGTTATAACCTTAACACACTAAATTCTGTATTTTTAGTGCAGAATTTCTAAACATGAAAACTAACATAAAATTAAAATATATAACCTAGTTTTATAACCGACATATTGCGGAGGCAATATGACAAAAACATCATCACAATCCAAGGACTTGTACAAGGGCTTGGCTGTCATATTTTGACACAGTATCATAATCTACGTACAGCTATAGACGTGTTTCATGTAAGTTGTTTTACTCTTATCTGGTTAAATTTACTGTATATTTATCAAATATTTTCTGTTGAACATGATTAAGCAAGAATGGTCGTTATGCAGTTTAATAGCATTAGCGATACCAATTTTGCTCACCAGATACGCATTTCGACAATAAATGTCTCTTCAGTGGTGCTCCAGGCCATTAAATAGTGTATGGAGTTGAAAATGTTCACCATGACAGTAAATATAATTTTGAAAGTTAATTTGTTGTAAAAAGACTAAACGGTAAAATTAGGAAATACTATAGTGTGTCTTAAATGTTTAAATTACTAGATAAGTAAACTCTAAAACGTTCTTCTTTTTTCAAGGATTCAAAATAACAGTAAAGAGTTAAGTATGAGAGTGTAACTACCAAAAAAAAAATGATGAGAAAAAGAAAATGAACATGTCTTTTGTGAGTTTTTTTCTCTGTTGTTGGGTTTTTATCTAATTGCCGTATACTCAACATTCCTGTTATTAGTATATGTAATTTATGAGTTAATGTCGGTTCTTCAACAATTGGCAAACACCCATACTACAAAGGTCTCAAGGTTGTATACGAAGTTTTGAGTTGAATATAGTTGGTATATCATACTTGAACTTATGTGCCTTATTTCTACATCGCTACATTGTCTCCTTCGTGTGTTTCAAAATTTCAGTTTACCAGGAAACGCAATATTTCGTATACAGTATACTCATTTATTTTTTTCCGTGTCGATAAAACTTAAGAAACATGCCATCTTGTCAGCATAAAGTATTGACTAAATTGATCAATATAACACATTATAAAGCCATGTAATGGACAACGATTTAAGTATAACAGCATGACTAACGGATTATGATGTCTACTTGAAGAATCAATTAAATATAACAATAGTATATGGCAAAATTGAAATTAAAGATCTATAGTAATTTAGCTATCAAAATGAGAAAGCCATACTATTGTACATGCTGATAAATATTTTCTTTCAATGTAGAACAAATTAATTGCCAACCGACTATTATATAGAATATACAATAGAGAATGGAAACGGCTTTGCAAAATGAATCAGCAGATATTAAAACATCATGAAAATACAAAGCGTGAACAACAAGTTTACGCGGATGTAGTCGAGATTTCTGATAGGTCATTGCCATTACAGAGCCTGCCCAGGATGAGATTGGGCTAACCGAATAAAGGGATTGGGTTGGGTAAGATATACAGCGTTTGCCGTGATTTTGGGAGGAGTTAGGGTATGTAAATTACCTTATCTGAATTTTGACCTACCGATAAGTTAATCTTTTTTGCCTACTCCTGTATCGCACTTCTCTTAAAGAATAATTATAATTTACATGTTAGCAAGTTTGCTCTTTTTAAATTTAAATTTAAATTTAAAAAAGTAAGTATATACGAAAGGGAGCTTTGACAATCAAAATCATATTTTAAAGACGGGATGAAAATACCATGACAAAAAGAAAACAGACGAAAAGACAAATACTAAACTAAACAAAACCAAGACAGGGTGCAGATACTTTTGACTATCACTGGAAACAAGATTATTTTCGATAAGCTTTAAATAAGAATCCCTACCGACTCTTTGACGTGCAAAGCAAGCACACAAATGCCAACTATTACCCTTATTACACCGGAACCTAAAAATGGATGTCCATTTAGCAAGCGTCTTACTAACGTTTATTACATTGTCTAATCATACAGATCATCGTTTATTGTTCCTTACTTCGTAGCTCATTCCGTAAAGTTTCTATTATCTGAAATTGACTAGCAGATGTTATGTTGAGTTCGATTCTCCCCAGGCTAAATAGGGTCATATGTGTTAATCAATCACTGGCAAAAGAAACTCGTTCAATCTCATCGTCACGACGAGAGGTTAGTACGACGCTTTGAATGCCCAAATGAAAATCTGCAATTAGATAATCAGCTATCGACAGTATCTTTAAACTTGGTGTGTATATTACATATTACGTATTCAATCGAAACCGCGCGTTGTTTTAAGGTCACCGCTTGCGCATTTTTACAAACGGCACGAGTTATATAGAGGTACCTACAAAGGGTACAATTCCTACGCTTATAATTAATGTTGATCATACTTAAACACTCTCGAATGGTTTAAGCATCATCCGACAGGCAGTATAACCCTCGCTAAAATTGGGCATATCCGTTTGGATGGGAGGGATTTATAAATACGCAGCCCCATACAGTCAGAATGGGACATTAAAACTGATGCATCGTGAAGAGAGAGTGCCACGCTTTTGGCACGTTAAGAACCGTTACAAAATTCTTTGAGAGGTCCGTTAGAGGCCTGTTGCAAGGCTTTTCTGTCCCTATTAAATATCTAAATGTTCCGGTGCCATTCCAAATTTTCCTCCTGTCATCCCAGTCGACCCCCTATTACAAGACCTATCTAATGTTTTATTGTGGATTTGTTCTCGTCCTGAACATGCATGTAATATTTGCCACTGAAAGTTAAGCAAACCGTTGAACAACCAATCAATCAATCTATTCATCAATCAGGTCAAAAAGTGAACTGTTGATTGTCAAAATCTTTTTTTCCACATCGTCACATGTTAATGTGTCTGACTTACCTAAGAAACTCGTCAGTTGTTGTCTGATATTTTTTGTGCCGGTTAGAAAATCTGCTTGCTCTAGTAATGGCAGATCTTCTTTTTTTTTTGTCGTAAGGTTTTCCTGTCTCATAAGCGTTTACTCTAAAACTCCTTATTATTTATAACAAAACTACATGCCAAAAAATATAAAAGCTTTTAACGAAAATGTAAAAAAAATACCAGTTACAAGCATAAGAAATAACGATTAAATAAATAATATAAAATAAGGAGATGTGGTATGATTGCCAATGAAACAAATAATATATATTTATATACAAACAAAAAAAACTATGAGTTGTTATGACTACTTATAAGATTCCATTATTTTTTATATATATTTAGAATGTGATTAATATTTGATGGAAAGGTTAAAAAGTTTCTGCGGCACAAGTACACGCATATCGTTTTAGTCTGAAATGATGTCTGAGATAGAAAAAAGAAATTTTATGCACTAATGTAACTGCTCCTTTGTCTCTGGTGAAGATTTAGTTGTCTCATTGACAAAAATACCACATCTCCTTATTTTTATACTATCATCTTAATAACAGAATAAAAAAAAGACAAAAACCACAAATGCAAATCAAACAAAATTCAAAAAACCAATTTTTTTTCCTGTCGTCATTAAAAACAGATTAAAAATTTAATATTCCCAATGCAAATAAAGAAACACAATAAAACACATGGTTCATCGGAGGGTTTTGTCCTTGGATCATATTAATAACACGAGATAAATTACAATACACTTCGTGCGCTTTTGAATCGTACTAAATCTTCAGTAGCTACGTATTTATACTAAGCACCTGATCTTGTTTTGAAATGATCATTTTTTAAATGTCAGTTGACGTCATAAACTTCTATTTTTCATTTCCACAAGATATAAATCTGAAAGATGAGTATGTTTTAATGTGAAATATTGAATTATAAAAAATTATCAGTTATTAATATTTGACAGCCAGTATCATACTTATGAAATTAGTGCTGAAATTAATATTGAAAAAAAATGAACAAAATTACAACAATACTTTTTTTGAAATCGCTGACGTTTATATTGAACTCGATGACAAGAACATTGCTTTGTAGATTATAGAGATGTGTATGATGTAATGTAACTTATTTAATTATAAAAATAAGTCAGATGTCATATTTAACAGCCAGGAGTCGGTTTCACAAAAAAACTTACGATTAAGATTGATCGTAAGTATACTGAATTGTTCATGACTTACGACAAATCTTAGTCGTACGTTTTTTTGTGAAACCGACTCCAATATTTTTACTTATCAAATGTGTAAATTTCAGATCAACCAATACTGACAAAAAAATATTAAAATGTCCTTATGGTTTTTAACCTGATTACTTATAACAGGAAGAAGTGCGAGGCTTGCCGAGTAAAAATAAAATGCATACCATAACAATACATGAATAATAGTATTCCCTTTATACTACAACGCTTGAAAAAATATCAAGAAGAACGTCTTGCACAGAAGTATCCGTTTGGTTGTGTGGGATGTGTTAATCTTACCTTGACCTCAAATGAAAATAACCGTTGTGACTTTATAATTTTTTGCGACTAAACATGGCTTTTGAAAAAAAATGAACCTTAATACTCATTTTCAATCGTATTTACGTTTTATATTGTAAAAGTTAATAAATCTTTGATTGGCTATCTTTTTAGTAACCGTGTTTTTTGTTGTGTATTCAGAACGTCTAATGACACCTACTTATTGTTCTGTTATGGAATCTCATAGCCAATGACTTCTATGACTTTATAAACATATACGAGTTGATAAATATAATTCATATGACTGATTACTATTATGTACAGGTTAAAAAAATATGAGCAACGACTTTCAATTAATCGTTGCTGTAATACACATAAACCATGCATGTTTTTATAACTATCGAAAAGATAGTGCCAAATCCCCAGGAAGAAAAGATCAGTGATACATTGGAAATTAATCCATTTATCATGCATAATCGTTTATACCTTTGTCACACACAAGGATTTCTAATCACAATGGTATTAATTTATTATTCTACTTCCATCATTTTTTTAATGCAGGTTCTATTTTTTTTTAGACTGAACTGATGGCGCCAAATCTAACATCAATGTCTAATTATGACAATATCTATATGGTAGCTTAAGACTTGGACAGATAAAAATACATTTTTGTTATCATTATTTTACAAAATGTGCATTCCAATTTGGATTTTTGTTTCTGATTTCCGCAAAGATTTAACTTACTTTTCATCTGACATTAAAAAACAAGAGGCTCTCAAGAGCCTGAATCGCTCACCTGTTATTTTTTTTGCTTAAATCTTTCATCAATGATTATTTTTGCTTTTTACCCATGTTCCATTTTAAGCCATAGTGTCTATGTTTCTTG